AACTCTGAGGGCTTTTCCCAACAATCACCATTTCTACAAACAGAATGCTGTTACATTTATCATTGTTCAGATAAGGAACTGTATACCATAAGGAAGTTGTGGCTTCACGTCTCACAATAGAAGAGCTGGTGAACCTTTGTTAGTTGTTATAAAATAGTTTAATAATTGCATGAAATGAAATATTCTCATAGACTATTTCATGCAAAAGCAGGTGTGTGCACACACAAAAGCAGGTGTGCCTGATCTTAATAGAAGGCACAATCTTTAAAGTTGTGCATCTATATTTTAAATCTATAAAAGTTTGTTATTAAAAGGTACCCACCAAAAATACTATCTGAATAAAATATATTTTTATATTTTAATGTTTGAAATTTACTATTCTTAAAGAGAAGCAAATTTGTATTTTTCGATATCTGAAAAGGAAAACTGCCATGTGTCTATTATCAAGCAAGCTGTTAAGAAAGATGCCAAATGCTATTATCTCTGATTGAGAAACAGAGAAGGGGCAAGTGGTGTGTGGTAAGTAAAACAAGTAGAATAGTTAGAGAAGCTGAAAGCTGGATAGATGACTCCTAAGGTCCTGTCCATGTCTGACTTTACATGGTAAGGCACTTGTGAGCAATGACGTGGGATATACACTGACTGGCTTACTTTCCTGTCTATCCCTTGTGAGATATCTGTAATAAAATTTAAATGCAGAAAATTAGGTTTGTACTTTCTCTAATAGAGGCACCAACAGTGGCTGAAGAATAAACTATTGTAAATACTGTACAATATTAAAATTATTTTCTTAGAAACAACAAAAGTAATTCAATGGGAAAGGTTATGATATCATTAAAAGACCTCAATCTCTATCTCAGACCATATAAAAAAATGAACTCTGGATGAACTACAGATGCAAAACTAAAAGCTAAAACCATAAAACTTTTAGAATAAAACATAAAATGTCTTTATCACATGGGGCTAAGGATTTCATGTGCTTAAGATTCAAAGAGCAGGGCCAGGGATCTAGCTGAGTGGTGCCGCCACCTGCCTCGCAAGCCCAAAGTCCCGAGAAGTTCAATCCCCAGTTCCAAAAAAAAAATTCAAAGAGCACTAATCATAAAAGAAAAAGTGGTAAGTTCACCTCATATTTAACAATTTTGTTCCTTAAAAGACAACAGAAAGAAAATGAAATAGCAAGAAAAGACTGGGTAAAAATATACACATTGCCTATATTTTACAAAGGATATATGTCCAAAATACTATATAAAGAATTACTATAAGTGAATAATAAAATGACAAACATTCCCCCAAGAAGAATACAAATAGCCAATAAACACATGAAATGGAGCTCAAAAACATTAATCACAGGGAACCAAAATACATATCCATTAAAACAGCTAAAGTGCATCTCTTGAATAACCAGTGATGTTTAACATTTTTTCAGATGTTTATTTGCCATTTCTACTTCTTTGTGTGAGAAATGTCTGTTCATTTCAGATGCCCATTTTTGGATTAGGTTTTTAAATTTGGGAGGTCTCATTTTTTTAAAGTTCTTTATAGATTTGAGATAGTAGACCTTTGTCTGAGGGACTGCTGGTGAAAATTTTTTCCCACATTGTGGGTTGTCTCTTCACACTGCTGGTGGTGTCACTTGCTGTGCTGAAGCTTTTTAGTAAGAAGAGATCCCACTTGTTGATTGTGCAAGTTCACGGGCAACTGAGGTTTTGTTCATAAAATCTTTTCCTACACCAATGTCTTCAAGAGTTCTAACTAACCTCTGTTCCAGCCGATTCAGCATTTCTGTTTTAATATTTAGATCTTTAATCCATTTCGATTTTAGTCTGGTGCACGGTAAGAGATAAAACAATGCTGAGATTCCACCTCACCCCAGAAAGAATGGCTGCTATCAAGAAATCAACCAATAACAAATGCTGGCAGGGCTGTGGGGAAAGAGGAACCCTGCTCCACTGCTGGTGGGAGTGTAGACTGGTACAGCCACTGTGGAAATCAGTACGGAGATACCTCAAAGAACTAGGAGTGGAAGTTCCATTTGACCCCACTATTCCACTGCTGGGGATCTTCCCCAAAGAATTAAAAGAATCATACCACAGTGATATATGTGCACCCATGTTCATAGCAGCACAGTTTTTAATAGCTAAAACTTGGACACAGCCCAATTGCCCATCAACTGGAGACTGGATAAAGAAAATGTGTTTTTTTTATAAAATGGAGTACTACTCAGCCATAAAAAATGAGAAATTAGAGACATTTATTGCTAACTGGATGCACATTGAGGCGATACTCTTAAGTGAAATAAACAGGACACACATGTAAATACCAAATAGTTTCTCTAGTGTGAGAAACTGAAAGTGTAAATAAGGACTAAAAGGTATAATAGGTAATGTGAAATAGGAAGAAAAGGGGCAAAGGGGAAGGGGAAGTGGGAGGGGTAAGGGTAAGGAAAGAAGGGAATGGAATTAATATGAGAAAATGAAAAAATGGAAACAAAGTCTTTGTAAATAGGGAGGGATGGAGGGGTTGAGGGGGGGCAGGAGAGGGGGAAAAAAATAAGAACCAAGAGAGATTATGTAAAGGTGCAAATTTCCAATGATGAATGTCATTATATTGTATACCTAAAATGTACCAATAAAAGGATATACAGTTAAAAAAACCAAAACGGCTGAAATGTAAAAAGACTGACAAGACCAAATGCTCTCAAGAATATGAAACGGACTCTCATTCATTGCCAGTAGAAATAAAGTAGTAAGAACACTTTGGGGAAATGACAGGTAACTTCTTTTTAAATTAAATAAAATCTATCATACAATCCAACAATTCAAGAGAACATGACTACAAAAAGATCTGCAAGAATGTTATAGAAGTTTTATTCAGAATAGTCAAAAACTGTTAATAATCCAAACGTGTAACAACATTAGAATGGATAAACAATTTGTGTTATGTTTATACCACAGCTACTACTCAGCATTAAAAGGAACTACTGATACTTGAGATAGTACAGATGAATCTCACAAGACATCTACTGAGCAAGAATCCAGATGATTCTAATTATATAACATAACAGAATGGTGATAGAAATCAATTACGTGTTGCTTCTGGGAAAGGCAAGAAATGTGAAGGTGTAAGAAGAAAATTTTCAAGGTGATTAAAAATGTTCTAAATCTTGATAGGGTAGTGGGTTACACATGTACGTATTTGTCAATATTCATAAATTATACGTTCAAATATTGTATGCTTAATGTAATATACTTCAATAAAAACTCAGTAAGAATTACAAATAATTCTTAAGCTTGCTTTATGAAGTATAATTACTTGGCAATTCTGAGGCTACCTTTTGAGTATCCTAGGCTTGAAAGAAGAAATGAGTAGTAATAGGCAGAAATTAAAAAAAAAAATTTTAAGGAAAAGAATTACAAATATAGATAGGGAATATCACTTTATAGTGACATTAAAATCAGAATTACCAGTATGAATACAAACTTAATGCTTTTAGTAGACAGCTATTAACATACGTATATATGAACACACACACACACCTTCCTATGGTAGTTCCGCTGCAGTAAGGGCTTAGCAGCAACAAACCATAGCAATGAACATAACTAGTGGCCAAATGTTGGTTTCTAAAAAATACTAGCATCTAATAAATGGAACTAGGATTTTTAGGAGAAATGGCTGATAATGTGGCTGAGGCAAAGAAATTACAAAGTGAGTTATAGAGAGAACTTTTTGCAACCAGAAAGTAAGGAGATCCTTTAAAATATCATGAGAACATGTCAAGAAGAGCCAATCTGAAGGAAAAATCGGTGGTCAAATCTGAGACTCTTTGAGCATCGAAATAAATAATGATTGCAGTGCATTCAGTGCATAGCATATTAAATAAGTCTTAACTCTATACAGATTCAAGTCAATAAATGGAGGAAAGGGAAAGTTTGTTACATTAGATATCAACTTATAAATATATAAGGAATGACAGAAAAATCATCAATGGATGTTAAATCTAACAGGTAAAAATTTGATAAAGAACAATGTATTTACATAAATTTAAAGATCTACCTACAAAATCCTTTTTTAGTTACAAAGAGAAAATAAAAAGCTCTTTAGAAGATAAACTCAGCAGATACCACCCAAAGTAATCAAACAAAGGTATGTGGAACTAGTTACATCATGTACCCCTTGACAAGATGCAAGGAGAAAATGCCACTTCTGTGATAACTGTATCAAACATGCATACAAAAATCTAATCATACAGAAAAACAAACCCAAAATGAGGACATTCTAGAAAACAATCTGTACCCTGCAATAACACTAAGGTTATGGCTATAAAAAATGCTGGGGAACTGTTTCAGGTGAAAAAGAGTACAACAAATTAGTGTATGATCCAGTATTAGATCCTAGATCAAGAAAGAAAGGCTATGAAAACCCTGTGATGTTGATTTTATTTTACCCTTTTGACAAATGAGAAACTGTCTTAATGAGTTTAAGCAACTTGCCCAAAGTCGTACAGGAAAGATATAGTTAAGCCAGCAATAGAAGCCAGCTCTGCCCATCTCTATAGGATGTGCTGTTAGCCTTTATAATTTCTAGGCGGATTGTTAGTTCTTTACTAGTCATATAGTACAACCATAGTCTTAATAAAAATTTTCAAATCACTAAATCCAGTTAAAATTAGGCACTTCTTCATATTCTTTAATGGAAATAATCAAATGTATCTCCCTATCAAAAGTTGTGAATTTCAAGTTATCATAGAAAATCTTATATAGTGATAGTAAGGTTATCTGTCATACTCTACAGCAACATACTTTAAAAGTATTATAAATGAAAGTAAAATGAAGTATAAATGAAAGTAAATTCTTAACTTGTGATAAATAAAAATTACTATATAAATCATCATCTATAAATTGTAATCTTCAATAACTGAACCACAATACAAATATAAACTCACACTATCAGAACAGCTGCTGAATTCAAACTTCTGTACTGATAAAAGGTACACATACCTTTTCCTAAATGTGTGTTTATGCTCATATATCTAGCTGTTCCTGTAAGGCTCTTGTGTTCTCTGTATGGTATATGTTTCTTTGTCTCTGGATCAATATATTCTTTTGCCAAACCAAAATCTATAATATGAATAACTTGCTGTGTTTTGTTTCCTGGTCGTCCTATTAAGAAGTTCTCGGGTTTTACATCTCTGTATATCAAGTTCTTTGAATGGACATATTCCATGCGAGAAATCTTGGTTTAAGGAAAAAAAAAGAAGAAAGAAATTTTATTTTAGACTTTTAATTAGCATAAGAAATCTTCATAGAGGCAAGACAGAACTTCTACAATGCAAACAGCATGAAAGAAAAAATTCAGAAATTGTTTTAACCCTTTAAAAGTAACAAGATGCCAGTCTGAACTTTCTCAAATATGTATATAACCAATTATAATTTAAAATGTTTGTCTTTACTATTATGGTCAATGGAATGAAAATTTAAATTTTGTAAGTTTATTTCATGTCAGTAAGTCTCAGTTAACATGGTTAGAGTATAAACCAAAAGGCTCTACTGATTAAAAAAACTTAAAAATATAAACAGACACTCATTAAGTTATATTATTCTTCCTCCATTTGAGAATCGGCAATTTTAAAATTATATTAAAGAAATTTAAGACTTTGATCAGTTAAATAAAAACACTGGTATCATTATTTCTTTTCTTTTTTACACTCTGTTTTATTTTTTCCTAGGTTAAACACTTAAAAATAAAAGTCAGAATCGAGAAAACTTTGGAATTCAACACCAATGACAATATAATACATCTATATTAACTGTTTTACAGATTCTCAAATAATGTTCATTGTACAAACTCATAAAATACAATATTACAAACAAGAAAACTGCTTCATTTACTGACATTCATGGCTAACAATGTAATTAAATAACAGTCACAGAAACCACTGTAATTTATTAGTAAACTCTGGATCATATGCTATATAATATTCTATTATTTTTAATTAATGATATATTTAAGTACTTTCAGGTCATAAAATATTCTTTTAATAATACTTTTAATAGCTGCATAATATTTTATGGCTATTAACAGTTCACCCAACTAAGATTGTTTCCATTTTTTATTATATTCATGCTTATACATAAACCTTTTAAGTACATCTAAATAATTTCATAAGGTAAATTTTTAGAAGTGAAATTAATGAGTCAACGGACAAAAACAATTTTAAAACTTCTGTGTATACTCCTATTGGCATGTATTTGAAAATTATCTTAAAATCATCCTCTTTGTCTTTCTGTATGTTCCCCGAAATTCAAATAATTAACTCTTATAGTTTATTTCTTCTTTTATTAGTTCAGTAAAGTGTATTACAAAAATTAAGAATCCAGGGCCCAGTATTTAGCTCAGTGGTTCCGTCGCTTTCCTTGCAAGCGCAAGGACCCGAGTTCGATCCCTGGTACCAAAAAATAAAAAAACAAAAAACAACAACAACAACAAAAATTAAGAATCCATATTTCTGAGAGTTCTCTTTCAAGTATTCATATACAAGTATTCAAGTATTCATATACAAGAAAAGAAACAGCTTAAATTTCAAAATCAGTACTCTGTTCTTCAAGTAGTTAAGATACTTTCATACAAATAAAATACATTTGATTCAGTTATTTTATGTTATATACTGCCTAAAAAGACAAAATGAAAAGTACAAACATTTGTAGTAAGTAGGTCAAATGCTCTCAAGATAATGTCACAAAACTTTAATATAACTTTTAACTTAAATTCGTGACAAACAACTTGAAAACACTCTGCTTTACTTACCAGCTGAATAGCTATCATGAGAACTGTTTTAAGAGAAAATGTTCTATCACATAAGTCAAACAAGTCTTCCAAACTAGGTCCCAGCAGTTCCAGCACCATTGCATTGTATTTACCACAAGGGCCAAAATAGTAAACTTGAGGTATACCATCTAGAGGAAAACAAAAAGCCATTGAAAAATTTCATCATCTTAAATACAAGCCCTTTCCTCCAAGAAAATAATTTTCCTAAATTTTACAGCTTTAAGAACTATAGCAGTATTTTACTTCTTCCCAATATACAATAAGCCTTTCGTGAGCAAGCCTACTCCCTGCTCTGCCTCTTCCTGTGCTCAATCACAGCCTGATTACAGCTCTTCTGTGGCTGCATTAACGAGTGACATTACCAATGCTACACAGTCCTCCACCTCCTCATAAACTGGGCTTCTTAGCCTGTATTTCCATGCCCTAGAGAATATAGAAAGGATTTACTTTTCTTGAATGAGGGTCAGTAACTGCTGTCTTTAATAATCTTGTGGTAGGCATACTCCTAAGATACTCCCCTCGACCGACCCACTTTCCCATCATCTGGAGTACAGGCCTTGTAAAATCCCTTTTCCTAACGTGAGTAGTTTCTAGGGGTCCAACCCAATCAGTCGAGTTCCCTAAAAAGAGGTGCGAGAAATCAGCAACACTGGAAGCAACAAAGAGGCTTTCCTCATTGGCCTTAAAGAGGTAAAACCCCATGTTGTGTGGAGAGCCATATGCCAGCTGGGAAACCTCAAAGAACTGAAGGCCTCGATCTTATAACCATGAGGAACTGAATTCTGGCAAAAACCAGTGAGCTTGGAAGAAGGCACTGAGCTTCGAATAAGATTACGGTCCATCTTGATCATTTCCACAGGGTCTACCTCTTCATTTCTTACCATTTCCTTTATTTTGCTCTTTAAATTATTTGTATTTTGGTTCTTTCATATAAAAGAAACAATGCAATATTTAACCTTCTGTGTTTGATTTATTCACATAGTATTATGGTCTCAAGACCCATCCAATTTTCCTACAAATGACTTGCTTTTATCCTTCTTTATGGCTGAGTAGTTCTCCACTGTGTACAAATACCACACTTTCTTTATCTGTTGCTGGGCAAAATGATTAAGATGAATGTAATTACTATGTATCACAAATATGTACTAGTACAAATTTTTTAAAGGAAGAGGAAAAAGAAGAAATAAAATATAATAAGGGAAAAATATATTACTGTCCAGGCTCACACTTTGATTTTGGTTGTCAAAAGGGCAACTAGCTAGGCCATGATCCCCTCTCCAGAAACAAAGATTTTGATACACTGTATGTATATGACAACATCCCCTTTAAGTACACATACATACACAAATTCCACACTCATTATACATGCTTGTCCCATTTCCCCTTGACACTGGGAATTACTATCCTAGTATAAATCACTCCCACAATCACTACTCATAATATGTGTCCATATATATATATTATATATATATATATTATATATATATTATATACATACAAACAGTATAAAAGCAGAGAAAATTTTCAAAACTAGTGAATGAGAGACTTGCTAAAGTTTTTTCCAATTCTGAAATCCTGTTTTTACTATGTCATATACATTAAGAACTTAGAGCCAACATTAAAGCTTATAAATAGCTGTTAGCTACTAGGATTTTTCAACAGTTCTCAACTACTAACCTTTTAATTTTTTTCCATATGCCATTTTTTTCTACCTCCATGCCACTAAAAGTGCTTAATTTAGGGCCGGAGATTTAGCTCAGTGGTTCCACCACCTGCCTCACAAGTGCAAGGACCAGAGTTCGATCCCCGGTGCGCCAAAAAAAAAAAAAAAGTGCTTAATTTAGTGACTCATTTCCACTGTTTAGTTTGTTGTTTTTGATCTGTACAGTGCAAGGAAACCATATCGTCAAAGTTTGTTAGAACTACATACAGAATGTAAAAGTAAATAGGTTTTGAAGTTCTTCAATGAGAAGACTGTTGAAGAGCTTCTCTATTTCCTGGTGTCATCATCCACACTCCTAATAAAGTTATGAGAAATAATCTCTGAATAAAGAAGCAAAAGATTTTTGGCTTATTAAACAAGTTATTTTCAAAGATTTCTAAAAATGCAAAGCCCCTTCAGGAATCTCACTGTCTTAACTGATTAAATAAATACTTAATAAACATCTACACTATCCTTTTATGGGACTGGTTTCACCATTATATATATAAAACAAGACACCATGACTGATGACTTAATCCAGAATACAAACAGGTTAATATTCAAAAATCCATGAAAATAATTCACTAAAACTGAGTAAGTATTTTAAAAAGCATAAGCTCTCTAAAAAGCCAAATTTTTCTCTTTTGCCCATCAGAACACTTAATCTATTTTACAGAAGGAAGTGTTTCTGGACTCTGAAATAAAAAATAAAATCAACTAAGATCTTTAAACTAAATTGTAATTGTATCCTTTGGCAAATATAGTGAAATAAAAAAGTATTCTAGGAAATGCATGAAGAAACCTCACTGCTTCAAGAAAAACTGACAATTACTGGTTATCACTAAGAAAATTCAAGCACTCAAGCAATAAATAATATTTTGCAAATTCTGTGTCTGCCAAGATGGCTTTGACAGCTTCTCAATACTTTAAAATTGGTTCTGATGAAATTTTGGTGATACTAATTATTATGGTTTAATTTAGATAATTAAACATGTCAATCTTTGAAATATAACCATAACTCAGTGAACCAGTATCTTTCAAATGACCACTGTATGCAGTTAGAAAATCATGAATGGGTAACTGATCAATTCAAGTTAAATGAAAACAATTAAGAAAAATTCTTAATAGGGCTTCTAATTCTACACTGCAAGTGACTTTTAAGGAACTACCACTTTTTAAGTCTTGGTATAATGGCAAACAAATATGTATACATAATTTAAATAATCAATCAAGGGTGACAAATTGTGACTTAAAATGTTGCTAAGAATATGAAGTACTTTTTAAAGTAAGGAAAAGTATGCACATAGCTATTTTCAAACTGTGTTGCACCTTAAAGTTGAAAAGAAGAACTGGCAATTATCTAAATACCTATCAACCCTGGACTAATTACATAAATTGTGTAATACATATTCTGTGGAATACAATACAGCTTTTAAGTATCTTTAGAAATAATTGTAAAGGTCAGTAATTCTGATTAAATTTTTTATTGTTTTTGCAACCTTGTATTACTTTCAAAGTATTTTTTATAAGTTTGTAAATATACATATGAATAGAGCAGACATAAATGAAACTCTAAAAAGCTAACAGAGATCACTAGTTGGTTATAGGTCATTTCTAATTTCACTTTTGTATTTCTTGGACTTTTACAAATTTTTATGAAGAATATATACTATTTTTGCAACCAGCGAAAAAATACAAATTTTAAAAATTCTTCCAGTATGACAAGTAAAATTGTGAATGGAAAAAATACTTACATCATATTATAATTCTATTTCTCAAGACAAGTCTGGATAGATTTTAACACTGATGAAACAGTGCTAGGACAATTAACAGGCCTTAGGCAGAGGGGGACTCTCAGTAAAAACAAAACAAACTACCAAAGTAACAAAGTATGGTAGGCAAGATCAAAAGAGACAGGCTTTTTTGAAAGTGGGAAAGATGAGGGAAAAGAGGTAAGAGAGAAGAGAGAAGCTCAGCTGGGCATGGTGGTGCATGTCTGTAATCCCGGCACTTGGGAGACTGAGGCAGGAGGATTGCTGAAAGTTGGAGGCCAGCCTGGACTACGTACTGAATTCAAGACCAGCCTGAACTACATAGCAAGACCCTGTCTCAAAAAAAGGAGGGGGAGAGAGGAGAGGGAGAAGGAGAGGGGAAGGGGGGGGGTAGAAGGAAGGGGAGCGGGAGGGGGAGGGAGTGGGAGAGAGGGAGGGAGGGAGAGACAGACAGAGACTGAGACAGAAGAGAGAGAGAGAAAGAGAGAAAGAGAAAGGGAAAAAAGAAAAGCTTAGAAGGAAGCTCAGAAAAAAAGCTTAGAAAGAAGAATAATGGAGGAATTAAGTCATTTTACCTGTGTCTACTGATTAAAGTATTGGCTACTGAATTGTTTAAGTATAATTCTATTTGGACCAAAACAACTTTGTGGATGTATTTATTTATCTCATACTTGGTGAATTTTCAGCTATAAACCCATTTCCAATTATTATAAAATTACTTTTATTTGAGACTATCATAAAAAGCTACCCGTTCTGAATCCATGAAAGATATTTCTAAGAATTTCCAACATTCTAATTTTCAGGGCTGTTTATTAGCATCTCTAATTCATAGGAAGTCTATTTTTTTCCAGTAAAAATTCAAGCATGAGTGAGAATACAATTTCACAGATTTGAAATACAATCTCACTCATATTTCCCCCAAATTCACTTTACTAAATATTTTATATTTCAGTATTCCATTTAAGCGACAAAACTATTAATTTAAATAAATCAAAAAAATAATAACAAGCATTCTAACATTCTTAAAAGTAAAGCCACACACTTGAGAAACAATGACTTAACATATTCATGGTCTCAAACAATATTTTCAATATCCTTTCTACAGTTGGAGATGTTCCAAAAGTACTTATTTCCTCGAATAATGTATAGCTCAGACACAAAATGTCCCCTAAAAATCTTACATGTTTAGAAGTGGAGCTTTCATAAAGGCTCTGATTTCATCAGTGGATTAACTGATTGATGAGGTAATAATTTGGTGTCATCCCTGGGGAGGAATGAAAACTTACAAGGTAGGGCCTAGTTAAAGGAGTGGGTCATGAGGGTGTGACCTTCAGGATACATCTTGTCCCTGCTCCTTCCTCTATAGCTGTTATTCTTTTTCTCCGGTTTTTTACTCCCTTGAGGTGAACAGCTTTCTTTGCCATGCTTTTCTGCCTGGATGTTTCTGCCTCGCTATAAGCCTAAGAGCAATGGGGCCAGATAATCATGGACGGAAACCTCTGAAATCATAAACCAAATTCTTCCCCCTCTAAGTTGTTTTCCTCAGATATCTGGTTAGAGCAACAAAAAGATTGACACAGATAAGAAGTAATTTATGCCAGAAAAAATTATTTTATTTCCTATGATAAAGATATTAAATAATAAATTCAGAGGA